CCTTCTCAGGAGTCTGGGGGTGCTGCTGACCATCAGCTGCAGGGGAAATTCCTAAAATCTTACATCACTCCAGCTGAAGAAAATCTGCTTTGGACTTCAATTTCCCTGGCTTTTTGACCTCAATTTCCCTGGCTTTTTGACTTTATATTCCCCTGCATTTTTGACCTTATTCCTCTGCATTTTTACCCTTATTTCTCCTGGATTTTTGCCCTTATTCCCCTGCATTTTTGACCTTATTTCCCCTGGACTTCTGATCTTATTTCTCTGCATTTTTGACTTTATATTCCCCTTTATTTTTTATCCTTATTCCTCTTTATTTTTACCCTTATTCCCCTGTATTTTTGACCATATTTTGCCCACGTTTTTACCCTTACTTCCTCTGGACTTTTTCCCTTATTTCCCTTTTTTTTTACTTTATTCCTCTGCATTTTTACCCTTATTTCTCCTGGATTTTTGCCCTTATTCCCCTGCATTTTTGACCTTATTTCCCCTGGACTTTTGACCTTATTCTCGCCTGCATTTTTGCCCTTATTTCCCTGCATTTTTGACCATATTTCCCCTGCGTTTTTACCCTTATTTCCCCTGGACTTTTGCCCTTATTTCTCTGCATTTTTGACCATATTTCCCCTGGACTTTTTCCCTTATTTCCCTGCATTTTTGCCCTTATTCCCCTGGACTTTTGCCCTTATTTCCCTGCATTTTTGCCCTCATTCCCCTGCATTTTTACCCTTATTCCCCTGCATTTTTGCCCTTATTTCCCTGGACTTTTCACCTTATTCTCGCCTGCATTTTTGACATTATTTCCCTGCATTTTTGACCATATTTCCCCCGCGTTTTTACCCTTATTTCCCCTGGACTTTTGCCCTTATTTCCCTGCATTTTTGCCCTTATTTCCCCTGGACTTTTTCCCTTATTTCCCTGCATTTTTGACCATATTTCCCCTGGACTTTTCCCCTTATTCCCCCGCCTTTTCCCCCTCGTTCCCCTGCATTTCTGACCTTCCCCCTCCACATCTCCACGCTCCATTTCCCCTCTCAGGTTCCTCCAGGATCCCACCAGC